TAAAAAAATAATACACACATGATGTAAATATATACTACACACACGCATACATATGATTATGACCGCAAATTTTTTGAAGCCACTATTGTTGTCTTGTATAATTGTGTGAATTCTTTTGAAATAAATTGTGAATTTCAAAATTGGTAAATAAGTTTTTTGTTTAGTTAAATATTAATGGCGTGATTTCAGATTTTGTTAAGCAGTAAATATGCATACAATTAGCCCTTTTTTTTTTTAACTAATCTTTTAACTAATAACGATTTTCAATTAAAGAAAAAGAAAATTTAACTAATGTGTGGATAACTATGTTGTAAACACGAATAAAGTGACTACAAGAACCATCATTAACTTCAGACATCAAGATATAATGTCATTCAAAATAGGAAATTACAAGAAGGATAATCGTTGATTGCACAAACTGCATTTATGTGTAGGTTCCGTTTATTTTACCGATTCGAGTTTAGAATTCAAGTTTTACTATAGTAAAAAGCTCTAAGAAACAGTCACATCTAACTTTTTTACTACAGTAAAAAACTCTCACATCAAATCACATTTCAACTCGAATTAAAAAATCGAATCAGCGAACTAAACGAGCCGTAGTCACTCTCAACTAAGAAAACTCTCAAACCACTGCTAAGAAGTCCCTCCCTTTTAACTAAACAATCTGCAACAAAGGGGGAGAAAGTATCAGATATCTGCTTCGAAAAAGCTCCAAAAACGAAGCCTGTAAAGTCTCGAATAAGACCCCCAACTCCACTTGCCTTTTAACTCTAACGTTTAGAGTTCAAAAACCCCACCCTAAATTTAGGGGGAAAGAAAAACTTTATCCTTTTTTCATAATTTATCTCATCTGCTATTGAACAGAAGAACTTCATATTTGCAACCAAGCTTTTATGAAAAGAACCATGTTTGACGAAATGGTAGTACTAGAGACATTAGGGTTTTGTTCACTTCGTGGATTCGAGTTTTTAATTCGAGTTGAGATGTGATATTTTTTTAGAGTTTTTCACTGTAGCAGAAAAAATTAGATGTGACATTTTCTGAGAGTTTTTTACTGTACAAACTTAAAACTGAAAACTCGAATCGGTAAAATGAACATGACCTAATTTTAATCTCAATATTTCACACTATTTTTCAGTTTTTTTTTTTTAATGTTAGCAGATAATTAATGTGGTAATATATTTTTTAAACTACCGATAAAAAATAAAAACCGAGACATGGTACAAAAATTAAGATTAGAGATCAAAACTGGTGCACCTGAGTATTTTTTTCCAAACAATGAGATATGTATATTGCATATTCTTAAAAAAAAAATTATAATAAAAATTATAATACAACATGTCAGAAGACAGGAAATGAGATGCACCAGAAAGCAAATGTGAGTGCTCAAGTAATCCAAGTGTGGTCTGTGTTGAATGCGATTCTTGATAATGCAGTGGAAAATCGAATCGTCTTCAGAACCATCAAATGATGAAATGCCTTTATGACTTTTTTTTTTTCAATTTTATTATTATTATTATTATTTTTGCTTGAATTTATGGGTTTGTATCACTTGTGGTCCTGGCTTTGATTGATTTACCATTTGTAAGTTTTTTTTTTTACTTAATTTTCTTCCCACACTTATCTGTAACTGATTAGCTAACTTTTTTATTCCCATCATTATTTTATTGTCTTGTATGTGATTTATCTCCCACATCACGGTCCACTATGTGGGTTCAAGATTAAAATGGTTTTTTGTCATTTCCATGTGCTTGTGGTTATGTATATTTACTATTTAGCTAGTAAAACTATACAAGTATGGGTTTCAATAATTTGGTGACAAGGCCCTTTCAGTTTCATATATTACCCAACCAGCTCTTAGATCATGCAAATATTAATCCCTACCTGCAAAAGATATAGATAGAACTATAGGTAGATTTTTATTTTTTAACCATTAGATCTATATAGAAATTGTTTATTTTTGTATAACTTTTTAAATTTTAATGTAATTTTAATCAGATGTAATGGTTAAAAATGTATAATATCAATAAGAGACCTATCTTGGAAAGACTCTAAATATAGTCTTTTTTTTTTTCTATGACAATTTTAGATTTTATGGTCTAATTCTCAAGAAATAGAATTCCAAATTATATAAAGTCAGTTGGAATTCAAAGTCCCCGGAGTACCATTTAGGTCATAACTCATATTTTTCAACATATGGCCTTGACTGTCCATCCAATATAATAGTTAATTGTAAAGGTTAAGATATTATATTCAAATCATACCATGCGATTCATGAATTGAGAAAAGTTGTAGATATTATATAGAAGTCGTCTTCTCTATTATGTTGTGATTACTTTAATAAGATACATAATATTCAACATTGACAACTCTTTCTGCTATCCATATATACATCAAATAATAAGTTCCCTTTTCGTTTAGACTAACACGTCAATAATTCATACTTTTCCCATAGTAAATAATTAGTTCTTTTTTTTTTTTATCATTCAGAAAGCACACTAAATAATAAGTTGTTATTATTAGAAAAAAAAACATAGTTGTTATAAAAAAGAGGTCCGTAAAAATAACCTCCCTAAAGTTTTGGTATTGCGCAATTATAAACCGTGTTATATTTGTATTAATGTTTGTTAATTATATATGTATGAGAGTTTTTTTGGTAGGATGAAAAAAAAGAATTATTGTTAATTATTTACTTTTTAGTAATTAGATATGTATTAAAAACTGTATGTTTTACATATTTTTTAATTTGATGTAATTTTGTAATCAAATCAAACGGTTAAAAATTTATATTATCAGTAAGAAAGTTTACCGGAGATGTATATATAAATGACATAATAGTTTTGTGATGTGCCTAACAGACTTCTCAGTATAAATGTTTTCCAATAAGTTACACTGAAACAAAGAAATATTATAACTGTTTGGTGTATTGCGTTGCAAGTTTATAAGAGTGATACTCCATTTTACCTTTTTTTCCCCCTTCTTCAAAAGCACACAAAGGTTTTATATATAATCAAGGAATTAATGTTGTAAACAACAAGAATAGGTCAAGTACGTCTTACAGGTAATCATTTACAGCAAGGGCAAAACATCCCAATTGAAGTAATACATACAAATATTTATACACATACACACATATATGGACTTTCTAATTTTGATGATTCTAATGATATCTAACGAAGCACATTATGTGGTTAGATACATTAATACATTATGTTATATTATTTAAAAAAAATAATATATTTTCTAACTTTTTTATAGTTTAATTAAAGCTATTAAATGACAGGACATCATCTAATTGGTTAAATATTATTCAAGAGTTAAAAAAAAAAAAGAAATAGGATATGAATCTATACACATTTATACATACCAAAGTGGTGCGTAATCATTACGTGGTTAGATACAATATGTTATATCATTTAAAAAAAATTTAACATATTTTTTTTTAACTATTTTTTGTATTTTAACTAAAGCTATTAAATGAAACGACCTAATTGGTTAAATATTCTTTTAAAAATAAAAAGAATTAGAAATATAACTTACAAGTACTTAATTTGGACTACGTTGAATCAAAGTGGTGCGTAGTGAGTCACACGCAGGTAAACTTCTTTTCTTTTTTTTTTTTTTTTTTTTTTTTTTTTTTTTTTCCTAATCGCATGGATAAAAATTGAATCAAGCATTTACTATCTCATCATAGTGTTAAAAAGGAAAATAAAAAAATAAAAAAAGAAAAAAAATAGATTATTTTTTAAGAGTTTCTCTGATAGAATTTAAAACATAAAATACTGGTAATTTTATATTTTAAGCCGTTAGGTTTATATAAAAAATTGACCAATAAAAAAGTATTTTTTGAAGAAAGTTACTTATCTCATTGGTTTCGAAAAACATTGTTCTAAAAAGAAAGAGAAAAGAAAATATTCCAATCGTTGCTAGAGAGGAACCAAAAAAATAGAAATAAAAAATCATAATTGGATGAAATAAAGTGATGAAAACAATCTAATTGACCTCTTGCTCAAGGATTGATTCGAGAAGACTGGCATCAAATGCCACGTGTAGTTTGGTTATAACCTGCTTTTTGTCTTACAAAAGTACGAGTACTTCTCCCAACCCACATTGACTCTCTCTTAATAAATATTTTTTCTTATAATAAATTTATAATAAAATAAAACACAGAGGATCAACATTCTCAACAAATAAAAAATAAATACCTTAAAAAAATAAATGATAAGTAAAAAAGAGGATCAACCAATCATAACCCAACAGAACCCATCAATTCCATTCTCGTAATTACACAAAACCATAAGGGCATTCACTAAATATTCCCTCGAAAAACCTCATCCTTCCCACAGTAGCAGTGGGACCCACTTCTTGTCTCCTGTTGTTGGCAAATTTTAATCATATCCTTAAAACGGAAAAACAAAATTCAGTGCTTCTTGTACTATTATAAGCAATTTATGTTACACTTTTTTTTTTTCCTTTTTTTTCAATCAAATCTAATTGTGTATTAATAACACTAATAACTAGTCTTGATTAGGGTTAGTGTATATATCATTGCATTTGTCAAGTTTGTTATGCCTTTTGTTGCCTTAATGCAGGCGTTGTGTTGTCTTTAATTAAATAAATATAATTAATAATTTAAGTGGGTTGTGTCTTTGTTTGGTTTATTATTTTATTTGGTTTTTTTGATTTAATTTGAGTTTTTCAATATCTAAGGTTGGGAAGCAAGAAAGGCGGAGAGAATCTAGAAATGCCCATTTTCTTCCCATTTCCTCAAAAACCCAGAAATTTAATTTTATATTAATGGAAAGAAAAGAAATATATATAAACCCAGAAATTTAATTTTATATTAATGGAAAGGAAAGAAATATATATAAGAGAGAGAGAGAGAGAAAAGTGAAGAAAAAGCAGAGAATAAAAAGAGACCGGATGTTGACAAATTTCATGTCACTGTTCTTAGAAGGTCGTTTGTTTGTGTGAAGATTTCTTATCTGGGATCTCTCTCTCTCTCTCTACGAAATAAAAAGGAAAAAAAAATGAAAAAACTCTTTCTCTCTCTAAAAAACTCTTCTGTTCTGCTCCTTTTCATTTCCCTTGAGAGAGAGAGAGTGGCCCAGCAGATCGAAATCTCCTCCTTTTCTTAAACCTGACGACGATCTAAGCTCCTTCAATGGCGTTTCAGAAAATAGCAAAAACCCACTTTAATTTTTGGTCCATAATTGCAGACAAATACTTTTCTTAGCCACTTCAGTCCTTTTTTTTAATATATAGTGTTTGAGCGATAATTTTCATGATTTGGAGCTTCTTCTGAGCGATTCAGTTCGTCGTGATTTCTTCAAGAAAGGTGATTAGAGGATGTGGGTCTGAGGTATAATTCTTATCTGCTTTATGGGTAATTCGATTTTGAGTTCACCTTTTGTTTGATTAATTGATTAATTGGTTTTCTAATTCTATAATTAACTTCTAATATATATATATTTTTTATTTTTTTTGGTTTTTGGCTACTGTGCATTTGTTTTCGTCATTGCAACCTGTAGACTTTACTTCTCTAATTAATTTACCCTTTTTAATTCTTGGATTTTTTTTTTTGTTTTGGGTCTTAGAATTTTTTAGGCGTGATTTTAGCATTTGTTATCAAAGGTTGTAGATTTTTATATGTGCTTAATAATTGGGCGAGATCTATTCCATTAACTTTTTTTTTTTCCTTATTTTAGATGCTTTTTTTTTTCTTTTTTAAATCACTGTGCTAGCTAGCAGAAGACAAACAAATTAAATTTTCATTATTGATCATATGGTTATCTTAGATTCGAGTATATTCTCCTGTTCCTAGCATTTCACTATCTATTAGTGCTTAGCATATGTTATTGGGCTTCTTATGATTGCTTGGATTACATTAGTTAATGATATTTCTTCTTGGTTGGGAAAAAGAATTTCCTTTTGTTGTGTTTACTAAAACTTTTCATTTTAGCTCACAATTGAAGCATAATTAATTGAGTTTTGTTTTTGTAGACATTCTTAGTGGGTTTTTGATTGGACCCAATTTCATGAAATCTGTTGTCTTGTTGCGCATTCCTACTACTCTTGTACTGGAGAATGATTGAAGTATCTACTAGGGAATGCTGTGGAAGAAAGATAGTCGAAGCTAAAACACATTTAATGATCCAAATGTGATGTGAAGATGTAACATTTGAAATTCCATTACCATGTTAATTGTGGACATCAGATGTTTCTTTGGCTGTTTTCTCTCAAACTTTAGCATCTATTGCTTCATCTTTTCTTGGCATTTTCAGCATTTTTGCTCACACTTATTTGAGTATCCTTTATGTTTATCCAAGCATGTCAGAACTTGACGCGTGTGAGTTCCTTCTAATATGATGAGGTTGTTTGTGCATATTATTGCTACGATCAACCTTGCCTAACCTTACACACTTTTTTTTTTCTGTGGCAAGAATGCCGATTCTTGATTCAATATTTAATTGCATAAGCAATGTCCTTGTCGATTATTGTGTGTCGAGGTAGTATGGAAGGAAGTTGGAACTACAAAGTTTCTCTTGCTTCAACACACACACACACACACACACACACACATACACAATAATATATGGGCCGGATGAGCAGTTACATTAAATAGAGCTCAATGTTAATTTCCCCATTTTGATGGAGCTTTTCTTCTGTTTGTTCCTCAACAAAAATCTGTTATTATTCTCGCTCACTTTGGCGTGTTTCTTTATGAATGGCAGGTATGGGAACAAAAGTGCAGTGTAAAAGCTACTTACCAGGATATTACTCGATGAGGGATCTTAATGATGATTCTAACAGTTTTGGCTGGCCCCTATTCTATGGGGATAAACCGTTAACAAATGGGCAGTATTACAATGGTTTCTTGCCAAGGGTCGCAGCTGATGCTTATCCAGGATATGATAAGGATGCAGTCAAGCGGACGATGCTTGAGCACGAAGCCATATTCAAGAATCAGGTGAATTTACTCTCTCTATTTCTCTCATCACTTTCATTCTCTGGAAACCAATTTATTTGCATCTTTGAGATGCATATTACTTGTGACTCAGCCTTCTTAAGTGTTAAATGATTTTTCACTTGTGTACTGCAAAAAAAAGGTGTTTAATCCTTATGTCAATGAGGTGTCCTGATTTAGCGGATTTACGACGCTTCTGTGTCGAGCATATTTTTATGCTGTTTTGTTATGTGCTTTATAATGTTCAAACACGTCTGGGTAACTTAATTTGTCTCGTAATCCAGGTGTATGAACTTCATCGCCTGTACAGAATCCAAAGGGACATGATGGATGAAATTAACAGGAAAGAACTACATAGAAATAGGATACATGTTGAGACATCATTGTCATCAAGCCCCTTAGCATCTCAAATCACTTCTGAAGATGCTCGGAAATGGCATAACCACGGCTTTCCAATGGTGAACTCTATATGTGCTAGACCATCTACTTCAGGTGTTGAAGGGATTCATTCTCCTCTAAGTTCTATGAAAGGGAACAGCATGCAAACTGGTCCTTATCCTTCGCAAAATGGATGTAGTTCAAAGGATGTTGAGGTGTTGGAATCAAGGCCCACTAAGGTCAGAAGAAAAATGTTTGACCTTCAACTTCCAGCTGATGAGTACATAGATACTGAAGAAGGGGAACAGTCAAGTGGTAATAAGGTATCTGCCATTTCTTGTTCTTATGCTAACAGAGGTTGCAAAATTGCACCTGAGAGTGGTGTTAAGTTCTTTCTTGATGATGGTGGGAAGACTGGTTGCAAAGGAGATGCTATGAAATCTAATGCATGTTTGGGAAGCCTAAATTGTTTGGCTGATCTGAATGAGCCTATTCAACTGGAAGAAGTCAATGAAATAAATGCTTCTTCGTATGACTTTTGTAATGGGAAGATTCAAGACGCTGCTCGGTCTGTTAAGCCAAACACACAACTTCTGGGTTTTCCAAAGGAGATATCACTCAATTCCTATGGTGGCGAAAGTGGCACTCAAAACAACTTACATATACAGAAAAATGGAATTGGAAGCGGGTGGTTTTCACATGTGCTTGAAGCAGGTATTTTCTTTGTTAGCCTGCATAAAAATTCCTTGGATTGGTTTAATTTGATCTCCACATTTTTTGTTCCATGTAGCGTTTACATGTGCATCTTCTTTCATTTACGCCAAAGTCCCTCAACACTTTCATTTAGTTTGAATTTTGACTCTACCAATTACTTAATCATCAATGGTCTGATTATTAGATAAATGAGTAATATAAATATTTGTATTTGAGTAATCTGTTCGAGTGTAATGTTCTGGGGGATTAAGTGTTATTTAGCTTTTCATTTGCCAAGTTCATGATTAGTTAAAAGAAAAGGACAAAAATTACATCGAAGATAATAGGTTGCCGAAGACAAGTTGAAGGACTTAATTTTGAGTGCCCAGAGCTGCGGGATTGATATAATCAGATATCGTCACAATAGAACGGACTAGTTATGTACTTGTTGCTGTTTTGTTTGTTTCATAGGTATTCAGGGTCTTTGGTTAACTCAGAAGGAATGTCATTTAAAGACAATCTTATTACGTTAAAGTATGCAGCATTTCACATGTATATCTATTGCATTGATAACCGTGTTTAAAATTAGCAACTACTTATGTTACAGGGCAAAGGAGAACCAATGTGAACACCGTTCCCCAATGTCGCCAAACAGAAAACTTGGCACTACCATCACAACCAATACAGGTTTCTCTGAACAAAGTTCAGGAACCAAACTTTTGCCTGTCTGATAAAAGCAAGGTGGAGTTATGGAAAGAAAAGACAGCTTGTGGAGTGGAGATTTCTGAAAGAAGTCCTGATTTTACCAATAATAAGCAGCTTGGTTCCTTTGTGAATTCTCATGTACCTAATCCGTATCAAGTTGCTTCTCCTGATTTGCCAAAGTCCTGGTCTCACTCTTGGGAAAAGCCTACCAGCAGCTTTGACCAGAAGTCAATATCAGTTCAAACATATGCAGGTTTGAACTCTAAAAGTTCCCAAGCGTCAATTCATAGTGATGGGATTTTTGGAGATAGGTGGTATCCTAATAGCAATGCTAGAGCTAACCCGGCTTTTGGGGGTGAATTGCCGTATAGAAATGGGTTTTACCAAGGGTCCTCATCAGGGTCTAAAGAACTACCAGTTCGAATTCCTTCAATCAGTGGTGATTATCTGAACTGCAGCAATGAAAATAATATAGCTCCTGGACACTTAACCAGTGGTGGTTTAGCAAAGTACTACAAGGGTTCAAATTGCATAGATGCAAAGTCTGCAAAAGATATGAACTTGAATGTGGCGATTTCGGACTTTTCTTCTAGTCAGGAGACTGCCATACGTGGCATTGACATTGTAGGGGCAGAACTCAAGCGTGAGGACCATCTTTCTGTGTTGCCATGGCTTAGACCTAAACCTCCTTGTAAGAATGAGACTGCGGAATTTGGGGGTCTCTCGAAAACTGGTGAGATAAGTTTCCAATCTTCTCCAAGTCAATCATCCAGCAAAAATGACTCTTCAAAGGATTGTAATCAACTTTTTGCTCAGAATGTAAAGTCCTTTTCAAGTGCTAATGATGTTCAGGCCAGGAAAACTGAATCGAGTGACATCCCAAGTAATAAAAAACTTCTTGGTTTTGCTATTTTTGAGAAGACTCGTATCTCCAAGAATGAATCATCTCTTCCACAACCGTCAGAAAGTAAAGTGGTAAATAAATGTAACAGAGTTCTGGATATCAATTTACCTTGTGATCCCGCAGCCCCTGACTTGGTCCAACAGAATGAAGCAGAAATTATGGTCGTAGAGAAAGGGACAGAGTCAAAGTCTGCTGGTTTCAGACATCACATTGATTTAAACTCATGTTTAAGTGACGATGAAGAAGAATCTTTGAAACTTCCGGCTCCAATAGCCAGATTGAGAATAACAGCAGAAATAGATTTAGAAGCACCCGCTGTTCCTGAGACTGAGGATGATGTCATACTTGGAGAAGCATCTGCACTGGAGCAGATTGAAGCCCATGTAAAATCATTGGAGCGTAATGTCGAAGTCCTGCAAGATGAATTTATGATGGTGGCAGCAGAGGCGATAGTTGCCATCTCATCATCTAGTTGCCATAATCATGTGCATGAATCCTGCCATTCGTCAGAAACTCCATCAAAAGAATCCTCTCTGGAAGATCCACTTGCATGGTTTGTGGAGATAGTTTCTTCATGCAGAGATGATCTCGAGGGACAGTTTTGCACTGCTTTAAGGTACAAAGATGGTGAGGACGATGAGGACTCCTCTGAAGGGTTTGATTACTTTGAATCAATGATTTTGCAGTTGGCAGAGAGCAAGGAAGAAGATTACATGCCAAAGCCTTTGGTTCCGGAAAACATTAAATTGGAGGAAACAGGGACCACATTGTTATCCAGTCGGCCGAGGAAGGGCCAGGCAAGGAGAGGGAGGCAACGAAGGGACTTCCAAAGAGACATCCTTCCGGGCCTGGCTTCCCTGTCGCGGCATGAGGTAACCGAGGATCTTCAGACATTCGGAGGGTTGATGCGGGCAACGGGCCACTCATGGCATTCGGGAGTGACGAGGAGGAATTCCACTAGAAATGGGAGTGGGAGGGGGAGACGGCGGGTTGTGGTCAGTCCTCCCTCTCCCCCCGCTGCAACACCCCCGCTTTGCACGCCGCTGATCCAGCAGCTCAATAACATTGAAATGGGACTGGAGGATAGGAGCCTAACGGGGTGGGGAAAAACCACCCGAAGGCCCCGCAGGCAAAGATGCCCGGCAGGTAATCCTCCATCCATCCCTTTAACCTAATTAAGGGAAGAGTCTTTGATTTGTCAACAGGAGTTTATAGAGGGATTATAGGGAGTGATTTCTGTGGCTTTGGGAATTAAGGCTGTTGTGAGCCATGGGAAATTTTTTCCCTTTGTATATTTCTTAAGCCCAAAATCTGGGTTTGGCTTGATTTTCTGTATTGGGGTGGTTACAATCTTTGTATTATTCACAAATAATATGTTGCATGATTTATTCCGAGATAGAGATAAGCTTTTCCTTGAATCGCATGTGTATATGATCTTCCACTACTCTCTGCATTTGATGAGTCCCTAATCATATGATCTCTGATTTTATTATCAACTATTTTTTTCTAATTTAACACCACTTCTGAAGTTCTTGATGTAAGCTTCAAGCTGGTGGACCAAATAGTTGTATACATATGACTTGTCAAAATGTCGGCTGAGTTTGCTAGAACACTTTTTTTTTTTTTAATCTTCTATAAGAATTCTGGGATTATCTTATGAACCGAAATAACTATCTTTTCAGAGCGGGATTTTTTTTTTTTTTCACTTCATAATCCTATCATTAGTGTGAAAGGAAAAATTTTTGAATGATGGAGATTCTCATCAAGATTCCCTAACTATATAACCTTCGTTGGACACTTGGACTATTGAAAATCCAAACAGTGCAGTTCAAGCGTTATTTGTGATCTTGTCAAACTAAAGTTTTATTTTTTTATTTTTTTATTTTTTATTATTATTATAGTAGTATAAACTTTATTTTTTTTATTCTTGTCAATATATATATACACGAACGAGTTTTCAATATGCTTGTTTCTTGGAGTGTTTGCTGGTGATGAATTGGCTTTAATGCATCCTATCTTTTTGCATAAATTTTTTGAACATTTCTGCCTCTAACTTGTCTCGCCTGGAAATTTAATTTTTACTTTCCCTCACTCGGATAATGTCTGATCAAATCATCAAAATAAGTGTAGCAAAAAATAATAGCTTAGGAACTACCTTAATTGGAAAACATTTTTTTTTTTTTTCATTGAGGACACAAATAGATAGCTTATCTTACGTAGATAAGCTTAAAAACTGTAAACGAAAAAAAGCAAATTGCCCATGATGTGAGCTTTTAGGAGAATTCTTGGTAATATATATAATGTAACCATTAAAAACTCATTCATATATATATATATATATATTAAATCATAGTTGTATGAGAATCGAAAAGAATAAATAGAAGAAAGTTGCATAACATTTGCTTAAATTCGAACAATCCATAATTGTATAACATTAAATTTATAACAGTAGAATATCTCTATAAGTAGTCCATGTTTTTGAACCTTTGACTAAATCACATTAAAATGAAACAATATACAGCAGTAATGAAATTTATCCAGCCACATGCCTTGTATTAAAAAAAGAAAATCTATTTTTATAAGTAGTGCATGTTTTTCAACTTTTGACTAAATCATATTAAAATAACAAATATACAACAGTAACAAAATTTATTTATATCTAATTGTTTCAAATAGAGCACATGCCTGGTTATAAAAAAAAAATCTCGATCTTCGAGGTCTTTTCATAGAGTTTAATGTGATTTTCAAACTTTTAACATGCTTTTTACTTACTGTGCTATTATTAGATTTATTGATGGAGCTGATGTAATATGTGTTTTATGTTGAATGAATTCATTTCCATTTTTTTTTTTAAAAATCCTCAATATTTTCTAATCCTAAATCTAATACATAAATCTCTATTTTGTAAATATCACCAAACATAATTATTGAGAAAAAAGTTTGATTCATGATTTGATGTTCTAGTACGTCAGCTTTTTACATAGTAGGAGATGACTACACATAATGGGGTTTTTTTTTTTTTTTTTACTCGTCCCATAACCAAATATATTAAATTGAAGACACAGTAACATTGTTGTTATGAATTATGATGGATATTAGATAAAAACAAACAAAATGATTAAAGGCCCAAGAAAAAAAAGAAGTGTAACTCGTTTGATTTGTTTGTTTGAATTTTGTTAGTTTGAACTTTTATTTTTTAATTTGAATAAAAAAATTTGAACTGTGTGGTTTAAATTATAATTTAAATTGACGTTTAGATGTATAGTTAAAATTTTAATTTGAATAAGAAATAAAATTCAAATTAGTATTTGATAGGTCTAAAAAGCAGTGAGAATTGATACTTTTTAATGTTTAAAAATAGTTTGAACGGTTGAACTTAAAGGATGAGCTAAACTCTAAGGGAATGTTTAGTTAGAGGACTCAAACCATGATTTGAATCATGATTCATGGTTCGTTACAGTGTTTTCTCTCACAAAAAATACACGTAAATTAAAAATGATTCTAATCACATGATTTTAATCTATGAACTAAACGTCTCTTAAGTTAAATTATTTGACTCAGTTTAAATAAGAAATATAATTTAAATTGTATACTTATCAAATATTAATTTAAACTATACTCGTTGAATTGAATTAAAATAAACAGCGGCATAATATATAGGGAGAGAAAAGAAGAAGCAGGCACGCGACTTGGGGGCGCGTGGAGGACAGAGCGAGTGAATAAGTGAGGGAAGATCTTGGTGGTGTTGTACGTGTGAGTTGCTGCAGAGGAAACGGCGTGTTGATGTCGGAGATTGATGGTCATTTGTGGAGTTCTACAATCTTTAAAATCTTGTTTTTGTGTTTGTGTGGGTGTCAAAATGTCAATGTCGTGGTCAACCACAACGCTTAGATACTCGCATAACCAATCACATTTCAAGGAAAGCTCTCTCTCTCTCTCTCTCTCTCTTTCGTCATGCAAAAAGCATTACCCAGTACCGACCCACTCGCGACCAACATATTTTAGTGCCTCTTTCAAACTCTTCTGTCCTTTTCACCCTCTCTTCGTCATATATATATATATGGCCCCGTTCACTTCGCTGATTCGAGTTTATAATTTGAGTTGAGATGTTACTTTATGTGAGAGCTTTTTACTGTAGTAAAAAAGTTAGATGTGATTGTTTGTGAGAGTTTTTTACTGTAGAAAAACTCGAATTCTAAACTCGAATCAGCGAAGTGAACGGGGCCTATATTTCGATAAAAGGCTCTCTCCGTCATTTCTCATTAAGGCTGTAAGAAATCACCCCGAACCCGACGAACCCGGCTGAGCCGAGCCGACCCTACTCAAAAATCACGGGTTTCCAATTTGTTATTTAATTTTCAGTTTTAATTATGCCTAACCCGCACTGCGCAGGTAGGGGCGCGGGGTGGGGTTACATGAACCCGAGGTAACCCTACCCGGCCGAACATGTTCAAAGTAGGTAAAACAATGTCCAACACTTCAAATTCTTACTTTCATAAGGTTATGGACTTTATACATTTAAACTGTTAACTTATTTATGTTTTGGATTCATGTTTTGTGTAAAAAATGCTTGTATGCCATAGTTGTTGAATTAGGACATTCTTTATTTATATTGGAAGTGTTTGATTTCAAAGTGAGTGTTTTAATTGTTTACCTTGCATTTAGACCCCTCTTGGAGGGAAGGCCTTGTCTGTTTGATAATGATTTCTTCTGTAACAAGCACAGATTAATTGACTAAAAAGTGATAATGTGGTCCTTGAGATCACCAACCCGAATAACCCAAGTAACCCGACCCTACCCGAGGTCACCCGAAAGGTTGCGGGTTTGTACACTTAAGAGAGTGTCGCGGCCTAAAATTTTCTCAACCCGCACTGGTCGGGTAGGCTCAATTTTTCAGCTCAACCCTACCCTACCCGGCCGATTTACACCCCTATTTCTCATACGTATGTACACATAAAATAATCTAACCTTTTTAAAAAAAAAAAAAAAGTTAAAAAGAATAAGCTCTCTACTATAGATAATGTGATAATCTTGACAAATATTTTTAAAAAATATATGAGTTAAAATTTTTATCATTTAATCTTAATTTATTATTTTTAGTTAAATAATTACACTAATAAAAGAGTATTTATCAAAAGTAAAAAATAAAAATTCAGACTCATATAATTCTGTAATTTTTATAAGTTGAATTTTATTTTGAACATTTAAATCTAAATTAGATTATAATAATTTAATCTTTTAATCAAATTTAATATTATGGACTACCGTAAAATATATTTATCATAAAAAACTCCTAAAAGAATGTTAGCCCTCTCTCTTAAACAACATCAACTCACGAACATGTAACACAGTGTTTATAATGGTATAACTAATATTTCTTTTGTATAACAATTATTTTGGGAACGTGTAACTTCCATGAAATTCATTTATCTTAAATTAATATTTAGTATTTTTTTAAAATTTTATTATATGAAATAAATATCATGTTATGTTTCAATTTTTTTGGTACCAATATCTAGCAAAGAATCGATGAAAAACCTAAAGTAATACAAATAGAAAAGAATATGTATTTGTAGTATCTTTTAATTACGGTTAAACTTTATAAAATGATGTCGACTTTGAACAAAAAACACTCTATTCAAACGTTAGACAAAATCAAAATACACAAATAAAAAACTATGGTGAAAAAATAATGATTGAAGATAAACACCACATTTCTCATATCCCACCTAAAATTTCTCAAAACTTTCTACTAATCTATACAACCAAGTCATATGAACATTATATCTACTTGTTTCTTACAAGGCAGATTAGTTATTGAAACTCTCCTTTTTTTTTTCCATTGTTATTTTGGCTACTAACTCCAAGGGGCAAGTTGTGATTTTAATAACGGAAATAGTAGGAAATATGTCAATATGAAAAGCTTAAGAAAGTATATAAGCCAATTTTTAGCTATAGAAATTAATAGGCCATAACTTGTCAAGTTATGGTTCATAACCAGATAAGTTATGAGCAAACTTATCAAGTTATGGTTCATAACCAGACAAGTTATGGATAAAAATCGTCAATAACTTGACAAATTATGCTTCATAACCAGACAAGTTATAGACAAAAACAGTAATTTAGCTTATTTATTAACTTATGTAAACTATTGACGTATTAATTTTAATTCATTTCAAGTTTGGACCTATTTTCATCCTTCTCCCTTTTAATAAATGCAAAAAGATTCTTTATCAGCATTTTCTACATTACCTAAAGTTAGAGAACCTTTCGACCATTCCTAAGGGTGTTGTGGGAAGTGGTTTATAAGTGTCAAGTACATTTTAAAGGAAGCGTGAGATTTGGACTTATGAGTTTTATCCAATTATCAATTTTCATCATAATTTAGCAAGAAAAAAAAAAGATTCTTTGTTTAGAATGAGCCTACTCAGTGATTGTGTGGGCAATTTTTGTGGGGGCCTAACGTTTGGAGAGAGGGAGAGGGAGAGAGAGAGAGGAGCTCAGAGAACCACAGCTCTCCCGTGTGATTTTCCGGCGGTGTTCCGGCTGCCATCAGGCATCACCTCGAGGTAGCCCACATTCCACATGCTTCAATACACATATGGACTAGAATTTATATTCAACAATTGGTATAAGTTGTCCTTGGTGAACATAAGCAAGTTCAGTGCTTGAAGAGGCCTTTGGCTGCCATAGAAAAATGAGAAAAAAAGATAAATACCCCTTATAACATATAGGTCTTGGATTTTCACCTCTTAAACTTAGTTTCCCTTTAGTCAAAGAACAATATTAGTAAAAATGATATTAATCAAGAGTAAATGATAAAAATCTTAGAAAGGGTGAGTTCACCAATTTTCTCCAGAAAAAAAATGCCTGCAAATATGGATGGGAAGTATTAGTTCTTCTGTAGTGCAATAGTATGACAATGAAATGGTACATTAGCATTTGATTCCAAACAAAAAAAACAAAATGGCATATTAGCATTGAAGTGATATAGCCAAAATAATTTGAATTGAGTGTTTCTTTTTGACGTATAAGGAAGAACTTAAATCTTGGATGATATGTGTTTTTGACACAATCTTCACGAACAGCATCTGAATATGAAATTTCAAAGAATGTATACATTTCCTTAAGGCTTTGTTTGGTAATAGGGAACAAAAATAGGAAGGAAAGAAAGGCAAGGTTGGGAAAATAGAGAGGAAGGAAAGGACCTTTCTGTCGTTGTATTTGAACATGAATTCCCTCTCTCTCCATAACGGGGGATGTTAAAATTGGAGTTATTTGAAGGATTTGAAATTTCCCACTCAATCCATATCTTCTTCTTCTCTCATACCAAACAACAATTGGTACCAAACAAGCTCTGAGAGAACATACTACTGTGTAGACAATAGACTATCATATTCTATGCTAGAATCTTGTCCCTGCGCCAGACTCTGAAAGTTCTCCAAAAAACAACATAATTCCTTCATTTGTGGATAATGAGCATCTCCAGCTCCAAATCTGTAAGTTTGGTTTTCAAGCTCAATCGAACTATACCCCGGGACCTTCGCTAGGCCGATACTTTTCATCTTTAATCTCACCTTTCCAAATTCATCCCAGTTCCCTCCCTCTGCATATATGTTAGACAATAAAGTATAGTATCCAGGATCATCAGTACTTATACTTGAAATATCTCTTTGAATGCTATTAAGCATGTCCATTCTCCGGTGAATCCGACACCCATTAAGCAAGGCACCCCAAATGCTAGCATGGACAGGACTGGACATGGATTTGATGATATCATATGCTCCATCCAGATCACCAGCTCGGCTCAGAAGGTCAACAACGCAAGCAAAATGTTCAGTGTTAGGTTCAGTCCCAAAATCCTTCATCAAGCCGAAATAGTATTTTCCCTCTTCCACAGATCCGGCATGGCTGCAAGCTGATAAAACGTTCATGAAGGTAACTTCATTTGGTGTTAATCCTGATTCCAACATTTGGGTGAAAATTTTTATTGCAGCATTAATCTCACCGTGCATACCGTACCCGGCAATCATGACACTCCATGTCACAATGCTTCTTTCTGACATGCTGTCAAAAACTCGTCGGGCTGTTTGGAGGAGACCGCACTTGGCGTACATGTCGGTTAGAGCTGTACCCATGTAGATATCTTTTGTCATACCACAGGTAATAAGCTTGTGGTGAACCCATTTTCCCTTTTCTAAGTAACCTAATTGGGAGCAAGCTTGGATTACAAGTAAAAAGGTCACTTCATCCATCTCAAGACGGTTTAAGAACATTTTATCAAAAAGATTGATTGCCTCAACTGAGTAACCATTCTGGGAAAATCCACAAATCATACAATTCCATGCCACCACACTTATGTGTTCAAGCTTATCGAATATTGTGTACGCTGTATCCACAAAACCACATTTACAGTACATGTCAATCAAAGAGTTCTGGACATACTCGTGAAAGTAACCTCTTTTAATAACATGGCAGTGTATCTGGTGTCCAAGCTGTAATAGGCCAACATTCCCGCAAGCTGTGAGAGAACTTGAGAGGCTAAACGAGTCCGGCATAATCCCTCGCACTTGCATCTCTCTAAAGAATAACAAAGCCTCCCTCGAAAATCCCTGACGAGCATAACATGAGATGATTGTATTCCATGGCACAATATTATTCTCCCGAGTTGTGAGAAGAATCTTCTCATATTCACCTAGTCTTCTGCAATCAGCATATAATTCTAGTAATGCTGGTTTAAGAATGTCAAAGTCAATAGCTTTTCTAATAGCAAAGCAATGAATTGCCTTCCCTTCTCTCAGCAAGCCTAAACTAGCGCAAGAACGTAGAATACTCATCAAGGTCACCGAATTCGGTTCAACTTTCAAGTCCTGCATTGCTACAAAGATATCTAGTGCTTCCCTAAAGCAACCGGTTCGATTGTAGCAGGAGATCATAGCAGTCCAAGAAGCAGTACTTGGGTTAGCAACTCTTTGAAAGACTGTCTCTGCACCAAGCGTGTCACCGCATTTGCCATACATAGTAATTAGAGAACTGCCCAAGAACCCATCAGTTCCTATACTTCTTCCCACAACATAACCATGGACCGATTTAGCCACTCTCCAACACACCAAATCACCACAAGCATCAACAACACTAAGCATTGTGACTGAATCCGGTTCAACACCTTCAGAGACCATCCGACGGAACATCTTCAAACCTTCAGTTGTCTCCCCATTCTGCACACAACACCCAATAAGCGAACTCCACACAACGGCATCTTTCACCGGCATTTCATCAAACACCTTCAAAGCATTATCCAAACAGCCCAATTCTCCATACATGAAGAGCAGTGACGTTTGCACAATATCATCACCACCAAACCCACATTTGACTATCCTGCCATGGAGCTTCCCACCACAACCGACATCACCAAAATGGGAAAAAGCTCTCAAAACGGAAGGAAATATAAAACCATTAATGTGGATTCCATGGTACACCATTTTATGGTACAATCTGATGGCCTCTTCAAAGAAGTGGTTCCACACGTGGGACTTGATTAGAACACCCCACATGAAAGAATCTGGATTGGGGAAGGATTCAAAGACTCGTGTGGAGGATTGGAGGGAACCCATTTGGGCATAGGATTCAATGAGTTTGGTTGAAGCAAGTGGGTCTTTGTGGAGACCAGAGACCAAGAGGTGGCCATGGAGTTGAACAAGTTTTGTTAAGGTAGTGCATGACCTGAATAATGGCATGTAAAGGGTCATTGTTTTGATAACTATAGAAATTTTTTTTTTGCTCATAAATGACAAAAAGTTTCCTTCCGATCATTGTTTTCTTAGAGCCCGTTTGATTTTTAATTTACGTGTATTTTTTATGAGAAAAAATACTGTAACAAATTATAAATTATAATTTAAATTAAAAAATAAATTCTCCAATCAAATGTGCTCTTAGTATCTAGTTTCTCTCAGACTCAGCAGGGTAGTGGGATTGAGGATGGGAAAACAAAGACCGGGAACAAGAAGCTTTCTCCTTGGTTGACCAACTAGAATAACGGGCAAGGACAAACAGACAACAATTATTTGTTTATTATTTTACTTGACTCAAAAGTCAAATCCTTGGCGTGTGGAGTGTTTCTATTATATTATACACATATATGAGCTGCATTATAAATTTTTTGTCACAAATATCGTTTTGATAAAAGCGGATGTGTAAAACTATTGGACGTTTTATAATTATAACCTCTTTTTATTTTATTTTATTTTATCCCTACTTATTTATCTCTCACTAATTACATTTGTTTAATGATCTCTCATGCAATTTTTTTAATATTTCAAAAAAAAGTTTTTTTAATGACGAACATTATTTTTGCCGAATTTAAATGTTTTTTTAACCAAAAAGTGAAACGCTGATACCAAGTGCAAAATTTAACCTTTTTACTTGTGCAGCGCCAATTGCTGTATACACATGATTTACTTTCTTTTTTTTGTTTTTAATTTTTTAAACTTGCAGTTTCTTGCAGAAAGAACTTGCATGGTAAGTTTATGAAAGCTGAAAAATGTCAGATTGCAACTTTTGTACAATACTGATTCTATTATATTGTTTCCTTCAAAATTACATACCCCCATGACATTATAGAGAACGTGCATGGATTACAAGGACAAGATTTCAACTTTTTTAAGTATGAAAATGTAATGAAAACACCATAACTAATCGAGATAGACTAGTTTGAAAAGCAGTTCAACCCCAATTGCCAAAACAACTAATTGGCAATTGCTGCTAACTAAGGCTTCTGATGAGTTAGCTACAAACATTGTCATTTAATACTCTTGCTTGATTGCAACATTCCTCCTTCATGTTTAATCCTCTATCTACATTCGTACCGAAGAGTCATCTTGAAAATTCACCAAAGAAGCCGTGCAATAGAAGCAACAACAGAAAAATCATCTCTCTATCCGAATCACCATCATCTAAGAATGTTTTCTGGCTTATCGGATGTACACCGGAGACAACTTCTGGAGAAAGAGGAAGTTCCCGCAGAACACACAGATCGCCAGAGTCGTTACATTTACCTAACTTACATTAGATAGAAAGTTGTACAAGGTTCCAAATGCCTTTTTTTTCCTTGTAAGAGGAATTTGTGCTCTCTTACATGATCACATCCTAAGGCTGTGCAGAGTGGTCTCTCAAGCATCGCCACCGTTTCCCTCATCGTCATCTGGATCAATGGGAATTTCATGGCGGGGCCTATTGAACTTTTCTCGAAGCTGCTTGATTGGGATAAAATCCCCAGCTGCGTCCATCCCGTAGAATAAAAAGTTGACATAAGGATGATCAAATCGACCCTGTAGAAAAGCAGAAATCACAATCAGAAAAGACGTTCCCTTTATGTTATTCAGCGAGCTCTACTTGATCAAAAGACTGAAGGAACGATGACCTTAACTTACCATGTCTGGCGAATTGGGGGTTAACAAATTCTCCTCAGCAACTGCAGAACACCATTCAACTTGTTAATAGAGCAGCAAAAAAGCTGACAAAGTGTAGAAAGAGAACATTCGTCTAGCATTTAAGGCTGTAAGCTGTTCTGATCCTATGCAGAAGTAACTTTTCAAGTAAAGGAACTAAGGCGATCAGTTGAAGGTTACCATACGCCACCAGAAGATTTGGGTCCTCATGAACATTAACTAAAACCTGGAAATTTAAGGAAGAAAACTTTCTCAATGCAGTATCATAGGGACACATTTTCTGGTAGTACTCCAGCTTTGCATTTACTTTGGTAGCAACTGAAAGCAGCATGCAGGAGAGCGTAAAACCTGATAAAATGGCTGATTAGGACCCCGAAGCAACTTATCAACCTTTGCAGTTTCCATCCATGAACTTGATTCGCAACACATTGGATCCATTCCACAAACCACAGCTCCATAGCCTGAAGATATAACAGATCTCTTGCTTTCAGGAGAGAAAACAAACAAACAAATAAGTGGGGACAAGACTTAGCAAAAATGAACTTCCGGTTCTACCAACATTGTAAGGTTCTTTTAGCTTCTATTCTATTCCTTTAAGGCTTTTGAAGTGAAAGGCTTAAACAGAATTCTGAAAGTTCAACATTGTCACTACATGCTCCCCAGTCCCAACATGGATGCTGTTGTAGCAAAGAGTTTTTAGCTGTTTTGAGATCATCTAATAAGTTGGAATAAATAAAATTACCTGAAAAAAGGCAAGTTTTTTTCTTTATCATTTCGAAAGTAAAAGGCATGGCACTATACCAAAAATTTTATGCCTCACTTTCTGTCCCAAACGAAATGCATATTCTGAGTTTTCACGTGCCAGAGCTTTAGCCGATGCGGCAAGGGACTCTGCCTCCAGATTGGAAACTTCATCTCGTAGCTTGGCTGCCAATGCATAGTTCTCATTCTCAATTGCATTCTGCAGCTCCGCACTGCAAATGAAGAAAAATGGAAAGTTCTCTTGCTTCATCTTTATTCGAGATTAGCTGATATGCTTAAAGACTCGGACAACAAACAGAGAAGGTTGGGGGGTAAAGTGGAATGAGAACACAGGAAAAAAAAAATAATAAAAAAAAATAAACGCACAAGGGTAACAAAAAGTAGAACTCACCGTAGACGAATTGCACTTATTGCCGTATCTTGAGCTTCGTTCTTCGAAGATGATCCCCTCTTTTCTTCCTGTCGTCTAATGACCTCTGCTTCAACCTTCAAAGAAAAGCTCTAATCAAGTGTGCAGAAAATTTCAAAGCGGTTTAAGAAAGAGAACTTGCGCAATAGATTATGCAGACTGGGAAAATTGTTTTAATCATTGTTGTTCATATGAAGGCCATGAAACAAAAGCTCATGCGAACTCTTCTACCTTTTCTGATTTACAGCCGGGCAAGTTACAAAGTCCCATCACAAACTCGTGAATCCATCGCAACAGCCCGAAGGATCTTCCTTTTTAAAATCTCTAGTTTTGCGTAAATTAAGCTCTTAAGTACCGTGAAAAAAAAAAAAAAAACATATACTATCAAAGAAAAAAGATACAATCATGAAAAAGTAGTTCATGACATACTAAAATATAAGATGTCAACTTCAAAAACCTGGAACAAAACAACATTCCAGTTTTAGAGAACCTACAGAATTTTGACACATGTGCATTCATGATTTTCATTTCAAAATTTTTCATGATGTGTATCATTGCTCAGTATCAAATCCAATCACGGTCAATACTTAACATCCAACCAATCAAGTCAGAACAATGATGAAAAAACTCACCTCGGTGAGCTTGTTTCTCAGCTGTTGTGCATCGTCATACTGTTCCGTGTTCAGAGCATACTGTCAAGTGTCAAAGCATGACCAACCACCAAAATAAGCTCGTTTGATAAGAAAAACTAACTGAGCTTATTTTAGAAATAAAGGGTGAAACATGACCTTTATTTTACGCAACAACATATAATAGTAACAAATTTATCTATCTTAAAAGAAAGGTCTGACATTCTAACACAAAACCATATTACATTCCCTACTTCTACATATTACAATTCGGTCCTTTGAACTTTCCATGACAAAATCTATATGTATAAACCAACCAAAAGCCAAGCAGACCTGTACACGAGTTGCGAGGTCCAACTGGAAGAAGAACATCAAGATATCCTCATTAGCAGTCTCACTTTGCTCAGAGCTCGCATCCAAACTCTGATCGCCGCCGCCGCCGCCGAGGCCTTTAAAGAGCCACCCAGCTCCAACCCTTGTGTCTCTTCGTCTCAGCAAATTGGGATTGCCCTTCAAGTTTACACTTGGGATTTGCACAGAACAATTCCAAATGTACCGCCCTTCAACTATCTGGTTCTGGGTTTTGCTCCTCCGTGAAGGAGCTGGCCAAGAAATGCCGCCGTTTTGGGAGGCTGTGCCCGTCAGAGAGCTTAACGACAGAGTTTGCGCCATTGTTTTGCTAGGTGAGAAAATGAAACCGACCCACTTTACCAGTCCGCGGAAAAAGTCGGAAGCACAAATTTCTGAAACCAAATTAAGTTTTTCTTTTATGTCTTGGTAAGCATAAGAAGCATATAGAAGAAAGACCAAATTGAAATTAAAGAAAGACACCGTTTGTTCGTAGAAGAAGAAGAAGAAGAACAAGAAGAACAAGAAGAAGAACAAGAACAAGAAAAAGACATGGGAGTTGGATAAGAGAGCTCACCGGAGAAGAAATGAAGGCCGAATTGAGGAGTACACTTCCGGGGCTTCCGATTCGCTGTCCGGGTATTCTGGTCTACTGTCCACAAGAATGCAAGATTTCTTGCATTAATTTTTTGAAGGCCAAAATAAATCAAATACTTATTCTTAAAAATAACCCCCGAGAATATCACTGATGTTAATTTGTCCCCCTACACTAAAAATATGTTATTTTGACCCCGAAAACAATAAAAATATATTATTTTATCCCTTAAACTTCAAAATACGTCTATAAAATAACTTTTCCGTCACAATCTCTCTCTCCTTCTCGGTGGTCGGTGAGATCTGCCTCGCCGGTTTGCCCACTGCCCGGGCCAGATGCCCAAAAATTTGGATTTTAATTTTTAAAACTATTAGATTTATTTTTTAATTAGGTTTAATTTGGTGTTTTAAAAGAGGGATTTAAATTTGGTTTTAGTTATTGTAACTTAAGTTATTATTATAAATATTTAATAATTGGAGTTTATAATTTAAAATCGGTTTGAAAAGTGATATTTGGTATATGAGTTTTGTTAATTTAATATCACATTCACTTCATTCATTTAAGTGAAGGAAATTTGTTAAAACTTTTAGAGTTTTTAAACTAAGAGCGTAAAGAGAAAAAAGGTCCTAAGTTTAGAAATTTATAAATTTTTTTTCTAATAGATTTATTAGCTGAGAATATTCCATACAACACCATCTTAATTTGTGAATAGAAGCTTTCACAAAGCATAAACAACCTTGCTTCTTTTTTCTTGGGAGAAGGAAAAAATAGACTAAAATTTGAGAGAAATTAAAATTAATAGACTAATTTTTAAGAGAAGTTAATCAATAAGTCAATTTGATGTAAATCTGGATTTAAAACCATTTGACATTCAAAAAATATCCTTAAATGAAGTTTTTCCACCTCTTGAGCAAAACTGCTCTTGCGGCGCGCCCCCC